AACCTTGTTGGTGAAGCAAGGCTACTTTCTCGCGTTCAGCGTCAAGTTCATTTTGAATGAACTTGGCGATAGTAGCATGTTGGGCATCTCTATTGAGAGCCTCTAGCATGACGCTAACAGCATGGATGCCCATGGTTGAACCCATTCGTTCAACCGCATCCCATTCGACATCGCTCAAATGGGAGTAGCCGTCACGCATAGCGTGAAAGCTTTGGTCATCTTCATCATCCAACATATTCATGTTGGATGTGAACGTGGTCCTTGGACGGACTACGAAGTGCTACCAGGTGTAACGGGGCACCCTGAAGCTTGTACTGGTGACAGTACAAGCTACTTATTCTGATGACAGAATAAGGCGGTGCCTCGATACTTCACGTACACTCGTACGTGCAGAGGAAGACGGTAGAAGAAGCGAGTACTTAGTTTAAGCAAAAAGTAGAACTGTATTAATCATAGTTAATGTCTGTTTGTAACGGGGTGAATCGTTACATAACAATTTATAAGAAATTGTTAATAGAATATAACTATAAGAGTTATATTCTCAGAACTCATTGTCATACGGACATATGTCGGTGGCACTTCAGTGTTCCTTTGGTTGATATAATGGCCATTATATCAACCAATGAAGACTTGCCACGACAGAGCACGAATATTTGTCCTTATGACAATATTCTGAGAATATAACTCTTATAGTTATATTCTATTAACAATTTCTTATAAATTGTTATGTAACGATTCACCCCGTTACAGGTATGACTAGCAGTTTTGCGCAAGATGTCAAGTTGATTTCGAGAATAAGTAAATCGTACCCCGTCGTATCGACGTCGCTTTGCTGAATTCGTACACAGCTAGTGTTAGCGACCGAAGTATCGTAGCATAATGTTTATTACCTTGACAAGAACAATCGAGCAACGTTGCACTCAAGAGCAATGAGATAAAATAATGTACAAGCAGAAATCAGTCAGTGATCGGATGCAGTAAGATTAACAAGATAGGTCTGGAATTCTTGAGCCCACAAAAAGATTCGACCGGAAGTCTCACTGCCGTCGCTCATCATTCGTTGGACGCATGAGAACCGCGTGACCTGTTGAACTGAACGGACTCTTGTGATCGTGTCTAGCCACGAAACAAATGTGTGCCCATTAAAATCTACAAGGTAAGGTGGGATCGAGCTTCAGCTCTCGGTTTCGCTGTGAGTAATTTTCTTCAAGGCACTAAATGAATTTTGTATATCTGCGTGCCCATTTTTTTGAGTGCTCAACGACCCGGAAACGGGTCGCGCGTTGTCTAATGAATGTGCAAAAAGTTGTTTGTGTGTTAACAAAATCCTACTCGTCAATGTTGTTTACCTAAAAAAGTGATGTGTGAAACGGGAGATGGTGGATGATATTGCTCGCAGACGTCGTCAACATCGAAATGCGGTCGTCGGTCTATATTTAACCAAAATGAAGATAGTCATTATCGAGGGAGCAATTTCTCTACTTTCTAAAGGACAAGGTGACCATCAACTCTGGCAATTTGAGTATATCAATTGCGTCATCTAAATCAACTCCATACTCACCGTAAGCCGGAGGTGCGACACTTTCGCCACCATTCAGTGTCGAACATTTACTAACAAACTCTCAATCCGCCCTTGGTTACTGGACCGATCATGTGCGCGTATTTTTGCGTGAATGTGTTAGTTAAATTTTATGTGAGGTCGCAAATGAAACGGGGTAGCCTGTCACATGCAATTGACACCACACGGTGTCAATAGGAGATAATGTCTAGCATGACAATGTCCTACCGACATTATCCGAGATGGATAATAGTGAAGAAACATTATCCCCTTTGTAGGATAATATCCAAGTGATGCTCAGAGACTGGTTTATATAAGACATATCAACTATAGATTACCACCAATCGCTTCTGGACGCGCGCAACGAGTGGTGAGCAGGTTGTCGTCATACGACGACGTAGTTTAATATCGTCAGATAAAGATTAACGTTTTACTGATAGCTTAACTATTTTAAATACAGTCCTCTTTTTACCCTTTACTCAGCTTAGTTGTTGAGTAGGTTAGCTTCCGCTGCACGTACTAGTGTACGTAAAGTTTCGTGGCACCAAAACAAAAGGTGCCCATTTACTCCTGTAGCACTTCGTAGTCGTTCCAACGACTACTTAGTGTCCGTCCAACATGAACATGTTAGACGTAGAAGACGACAGCTCTCACGTCACACGTGAAGGCCACCCCCATCTGAGTGACTCAGACTGGGAGGTAGTCGGCCGCATGAGTGTGCTCATGGGCGAACCCGCCATCAGTGGTATGTTGGAGTCTATGAGCAGAGACCAGCAACATGCTGCTATCCACAAGTTCCTACAAGAGGAACTTGCCGTCGAACGACAGAAGATAGCCTTGCTACAGCAGCAAGGCTCTCATCAGTTGATGGGCGGACCGACGCACACGCGTCGACCCGAAAACGTGAAGACAGATATCTCAAGGTACAAGGGAACCGGTGAAGATTCTCTTTTGAGATGGTTCGTCGAGTTAGACGATGCCATCAGAGCCCGTTACATCGAGGGTGACGAGATGCAAGTCCACTTTGCCCTGTCAGATTTGACGGGACGAGCAAAGACTCGGGCTTTAGGGCTCAAGCTTCACGACCCAAACGTGTTTGAATTGCTGGAGATCTTGTAGTCTCTGCTTAAAGAGACGTTTGAGCCGCCGAGAGCCGAGTACAGAACACGCTCTGCACTCTTGAGGCTAAAGAAAGGCAAGCGTGACGTTCACGCTTACGCACAACACCTACGCTACCTTGCGAATAGCGTCACGGAAAACCCTGTTGATGAGCACACGCTCATCAACGTGTTCATCTACGGCCTTGTAGATGAACGGTGAAGACCTACATGTTCCAAGAGGACTTCAATACGCTGGAAAGGGCGATAGCGTATGCGGAACAAAAATACTTCAAGCCTGAGACAGTCTCAGGCTTACTCGTCAACCTATCGTCCGACTAGACGACAGGAAACCGGAGGTCCCCCGAACCAATGGACCTCTGTTACATCGCAAGCGAGAGCTGTTTCTCTCTGAGTCACAAGCGAACGGCAAGATTCCATAGCTTTCAGAAGATTGGACAATACGCTCATGAGTGTAGTGTCCCAAGCACCACATCGCGTCCAAATACAGGACGTGATGACCACCGATGACCAAGGAAAGGTCCAAGGCGTGGGTCCGACCATGTCGCTAAGACGCTACAGCAAGTCGGACCGCCAAAAACGGACAAGGTCAGTAGGGGCGGAGCACCCTGCTGATCCAGCACGTCAAGCGAAGTTGCAGGACTCTTGAAGAAAATTGGTCCCAACGTCCCAACACGCAGTCGCTGTGTGTTACTGCCCTTAGTGATGACGAGTCCCTCATACCTTTGAGATCGATGTGACAAGTGGAATGTCACTTCGCGCCCGAGTTGACTATGGGGCGTCGAACAGTTTATTCGACACCAGTCGCTAAAGGATAGTAGACTGGAGGATGTTGAGCGATAGTTCCCTCCAACAAGGATGACGGTGTGCCTTGCTACAGGAGAATCCGTAACAGTGAAGAAACGTGTAGTGGGAATCCACTACACGCTAGAAAGAAAACATTACGATGACGAATTCATCGTACTGGATTTGGATGACAAACTTGATGTCATCCTCGGTCTGTTATGGCTTAGAAAATACCAGCCATGGATCAGCTGGCAGCATCGATCCGTGAAGATGCCTGCCGTTTGTTCATCTGATGAACGTCTTGGAGCGTCCACAAGCGTGTGGATGTACTACGAGCTAGTTTGATGGCCTCATTTGTGGTACGGTCGTTAGTATGACAGCACAAGATCACAGTGTAGAAGGCCACTACACTGTGGAACCAGCTTCCTGCACCTGTGAAGAGACACAGGCTGCGCCGAAGGTTCGCCACTCGAAGAGATCGATTGGACTGTAACACGGATGCACACCAAGAAGGGTGCGTCCAAGAAGAGAGATGAGTGTCGTTTAGAATGAACAACACGTTGAAGCGAGATCTACTAACAGAGTCGATCGTAGAGCAAGCCCGATAGACTGAAAGAGAGTCGATCGAAGAGGACGTAACTGTGGTAGTACACCCACAGTCAGTGCTCGTAATGGAAGAAAGTTCCAGCGTTCCTGGGAGTGATAACTCCCAAGAGAATTATGTTGAGGGTGTGAATCCCCAATTACCTGCGAATGTGTTTTCCAAGAAAATCACCGAGACAGTGAATGTCTTGGTGAATAAAGGATCAAGTGTAGGCACTTATACACTTGATCTGGTTACACCTCCGAAGTCAGCTTCGGAGGTGGTCAAGTTGCCAACGCTAGGATCTCAAAGACTGTTGCGAGATCTGCGTAGTGATAATTTCAAGTAGAGCTAAGTAGTCGTCACAGAGGACGAGTACGTCGCCGATATTCGGTCGGCACAAGTGTTTACTGAGAACAAACGGGTTCTCAGTAGCTCATCGATGTATGAAAGTGTCCTTGATGAGAAGATCCGGATTGATCGATTCATGTTGTAATCTTGGGAGTCTTTGAAGACAAATCCTTTGTACAGGAATTTAATCGAATTTCAGGGATGTTTTCCCGGAATCCGTACCATGAGAGCTGCCCAAGGACAAAGGCACTCAGCATGAGATCAAACTGGAAACCGGTTTGAGGTACTGTGTCATGAAGCAGTGGCCACCGCCTCGTGAACAGGTCACAGCGATCGACAAACTCTTTGCCGATCGCTTAGCGGCTGATCATGTGAGGGAATTAACGTCTCCACAAAGCTCTCCGACCTTCTTTGTGCGAAAAGCCACAGGAGAGTGGCGGATAGTGCACGTGTTCAACAAACTGAACGCTGCAGCGTTACTGGCTCAAACGCCGATCCCAAGAAAGGATGTCATCAATGATGGTATAGCAAAGAGTACCATCCCCGATCCCAAGAAAGGATGTCATCATTGATGGTATAGCAAAGAGTACCATCCATCACATCCATGGATGTGATGGATGGATTCTATCAGATCCTCATGCGTGAACGGGATATCCCTTACACAGCAGTGAGCACCCCCATTGGTATGCTCTGGGAGTGGCTAGTGATGACACAGGGGCTAAGTAACGCCCCTGCAACGTTCCACAGATGTTTTACGAATCTGTTGAGACTGGTGCGCGATTTTGCACCGAGTTACTTCGAAGATGTCTTCGTCCGTAGCCGAGCTTTGGATGAAAAGACGGACGTGGAGGTTCATAGAATCCACGTCCGAAAGGTTCTTACGCTAATGCAGGAGCATAAGTTGGTCGCGAACCTCAAGAAGTGCATATTCGCAGTGAACGAAATGCCACTTCTTGGCTGCATCGTGGGTAAAAACGGCGTACGCCCTGATCCTGAAAGATAAGGCGATCAGCGACTGGTCTGTGCCAGCCGACGTTAAGGGACTTCGAAAGTTCCTTGGCTTCGCGGCGTACTTGCACAAGTACTTGCGCAACTATCAGAGATGACCGTACATCTCTCTCGTCTGTTAAAGAAGAAATAGAGGTGATCATGGAGTGCCGAGTGTCAGCACTCCTTCGAAGGCATCAAGAAAAGCTTGATGTTATCGCATGTGTTGGCGATTGCAGACCAGGACAGACCGTTCCATGGGGTCTGTGACGCCAGCGATTTTGCAATCGGCTGCGCGTTGATGAAGTACAACTCAGACGGCGTTGAGCGCGTTGTCTGTTATCAATCGCGTCAGCTGCAAGCAGCTAAGCGTAGTTACCAGGTGCATGACAAGGAACTCCTTGCCATGAAATATGCACTGGCTAGGTTTCGGTTATATCTCTTAGGAGATAGGCCATTCATCATTTTTACCGACCATGCGTCGTTACGCACGGCCGTAAACAGTCCACACCTCTTGCAACGAATGGCGAGGTGGCTGTCTTTCTTCGCGGTTACAATTTCTCCGTCTAGTATAAACCAGGAAGACTTAATTTCGTCACTGATTCTCTTTCGCATCGGCCCGATTTCAAGCCAGCTGCTCAACCCAACAAAAGGAGTGATCCCACTGTAGCAACACTATCAGTGAGTTTACCGTCGTCGAGTTTGCTCGACGACGTGCAGAACGCAAACGCATAATACGAGTCTCTTCTGCGATTGATGGATTACGTGTCTGATGCATGCCGTCGAGCTTTGAAAGCTTGACGTCTCAATTCCGCTCTTTGACCGAACGGTATTCGGCTTGTGATGGACTGCTGTACTATACAGCAGTCAACGGCGACACACCTCGTGTCGTCTTTACGGCTTACAATGATTTGCGATTGCGCATCATGTATGAATGTCACGATGCCCCAACAAGTGGGCAATCGCGGTAGAGAAAAGAATTGACCTCATAGTGAGCCGTGACTTCCATTGGCCCCGCCAGTAAAAAACATTCGCGCTTGCAAAGTTTGTCAACGGGTGAAGCCCAGTACTCTATCCCGTGCACCCTTGCAGCCTCTACCGATTCTGGCAGATTGTTGGCAGCCCGTAACGATGGACTTCGTCTTCGGGTTTCCCAAAGACGTTCATAAAAATACGGGTATTCTTGTGTTTGTTGATCGGTTCAGCAAGATGGTACATCTTGTTGCTGTACCGGAGTCAATTACAGCCCAGGGCTGTGCGCGTGTATTCATCGAAACCAACTTCCGACTTCACGAGTTACCCCATGAACTCCTGTCCGATAAGGACCCCCTCTTCACAGCGGAGTTCTGATCAGACGGAACGCGTCAACCGCGTTCTCGAAGAGATAATTCGAGGGTATATCCACTCGTTTACGAGCTGGAGTGAGTTCTTGCCGATGGCGGAATTTGCCATCAACAAGTCGGCGCACGCGTCGACAACGCATACACCGTTCTTCGTGAATGGCCAACGCCATGCACATTTATCCGAATTCTTAGAGTGTGACTCTAGTTTAAGGGGGGTGGACTCGATCGAACGATAAACCGATCAAGTTCTTGCTCATCACACGTTGACCATGATGTCGACGTGATGGATGCCGATGTCGATCACATCGACACCGGTGACGATGATGACGACGATGCTGGTATATTCAGCATCGCCAATGACCGCCAAAGTGAGGACGATGATACCCTCACTGGTGAAGACAACGTTCTTTCAGCACTGCAAACGAAGCTCAATACCGTTAACAAGGATGAACCAGCAGAGGAATTTTTGCTGACTCGCGAAGCGGTTGTCCGCTTAGTTCAAGACGCTATTGCAGATGCAATAGACAAGCAGAAAAGAAACGCAGACAAACAAGGGAGAGCAAAGGTCTTTCATTTAATGAAGGAGATCAAGTTTTACCGTCTACAGAAAACCACCAAAACACGCAGCGACAAACGTGGGCAGCGGTAAATTACTGCCCAAGTATATCGGTCCATTTCGTGTGTTGCGCCAAATGGGCAACGCATACACGATTGAACTGCCCCGTAAGATGCGTACGCATCCTACGTTTTACTCTGGACGTCTCCGCCCGTACTATCAGTGCGAGCCCGTTTCTAGAGGCGAAGAACACCTCCGCGGTCAAGGGCCGAGACAACCTTCGAGTGGTCCCGTTTCGACGAGCCAGTCTGGTTGACTAGCTAGTGAAGCGACCTGCTCACGCAGTTGAGCGATGTACTGACGAGCTGCAGTCAGCTCGTCACGAAGAGAATGAATCGAACGCTCGTCTTAAGTGGCTAAAACGCAAACTCGGCACGATCATTCGAACGATCGTGCGCTAAGAAGTTGCAATTATCCTTTACAAGGTCATGGAGATCGTAACGCCGAGTCCGTTTATGAGCTAGGTCATCGTGTTACTGTTATATTACACGACTCAGTTCTTGAACATCAAGCTGATACGACCCTCGATTCCGATCAGGTGTTCCCGACACCACCACATCCATTGGTGGATTATGGCGGTGGTGACGCTTTCTGGTGGAGCGTATTTTGATCCACCGCGACGTGAATGGTGTCCGGACAAATTACCTCGTCTGACAACGTGGCTTTTCACCGGCCTAGGACAGCTAGGATCCTCGCGCCCAGAAGATCGTTGATGTTCTGGGTACCATCGAGCAATATGACGATACCCACAACCTGCGTTCGAAGAAGGACCGTCGGAAAATGACATCCTCGAACGCGAGTGCAGGGTTTGCAAAGTGTCAATCCTCTCGGCCATCTCAGAAGCGATGCGCGCCCTCCAGCAGGGATTATTAGGGAGGTAGGCCTCCCTAGGGGAACGGTTCAATTTGTCCAGGCAACCTGGACACGAATCACATCACGAGAATTCAGGGTAAACCTGCCTCTATTTACAGCCGGTGCAACTTATATCGTACCCTGACTGATTACGCTTCTCAACCCTCATGCGGGTTGAATAAAGCTTACCGAGCAAGGCCTCACGGCCAATGCACTCGATGCTATGGATGAAGGCTTTCCATCCTTGCACCAAGGCCTTATCGTCTCGACCACGGTTGCCCTTGTACCACCGCTGTTTGAAAAATGCATCGGTGAAGAATTCTTTCTCAGCACGGATAGTTTCCGTGCTAGAATTAAGAGGACAGATCCTCCTACAGAAGAACAACGGGATTCGATCCCGTTCAGTGGTCATGCCGGCCACTTGATCTAACTCTTTGGATGATGGTATCCAAGGAGATTCCACTTGAGGAGCGCGGCGCACGACATTTCGGCCCCTGGCTCCTTGAGTGGTGTCAGCATGAGCACTGACACCAGTGGCAGCTCGATCCCTCGAGTTGCTTCTCTCATGGTGATGCATAGGGGTATCACCACTACAACCACGCGTCCTATAGTCGGATGGACTTGCTCTGAGGCGGGGATTCTTCAGAAGAATCGCTCGGTCCGAAGATCTCGGACATGATACCTCCACGTTCCCCAGAGCCGGTCAACCTGGCTCTTGCAGTGTCCGCCCCGGATATTCCAGGGATGTGAGGTGTCACCTTCGAATAAGATGCATCATCCGACTCGCCATAATAGATGACCTCTTTTTCAGGCTCATCTACATTGCGAGTTGCAGCACCCGCTACAGACGCAGCGGATGCATCTGCCGCACGTGGTGACTTAACAAGTGAACTATTCACAACTGAAACTGCATGTTGCTCACTTACAACATCAGATGAACAAACACCTGCTGCTGAGGCTTTAAAAGTACTCTCTTTGGCTGCACGCATGCGTGCAACCGCCTTCTTGGCTTTTTCCGGTAGTGCACCGCATGGGCTTTGACACCATGCGATGCATTGGCAAATGAGTTGGAATGTGACCAACAATTGTTCCCTTTACCATAGTGATCAAAGGGTGATCAACCTGTCCTTAAGCAATTAAATTCAATCACCGGGGATTGATGGATAGGGGGGGTGATGTAACGGGGTAGCCCGTTACATGATATTGACACCAAACGGTGTCAATAGGGAGATTGTCTAGCGTGACAATTACCTACCAATATTATCCGAGATGGATAATAGTGAAGGAATAGTATCCCCTTGTAGGATAATATCTATGCGCTGCTCAAAGATTGGTTGATAAAGACAAATCAACCAAGATTACCACCAATCGCTGCCAGACGCGCGTAATGAGTGGTGAGCAGGTTGTCGTCATACGACGACGTAGTTTAATATATTCAGATAAAGATTAACGTTTTACTGATAACTTAACTATTTTAAATACAGTTCTCTTTTTACCTTTACTCAAACGATCCGCTTAAGTAGATTCGCTTCCTCTGCATGTACCAGTGTACGTGAAATTTCGTGGCACCCCAAGCAAAGGATGGCTCGTTACATTAGCAACGTTGTCCAGCGCAAAAATCTCTTGTGATTTGTTGCAACAAGCATCCTTCACCTCTTAATTTGTCCGCTGTATACCCACAACCGGTCACGGTATGTCCTAACTTTCCTTTTCACAAAACACTTCAGTTGCCTACAGACCACCGGATGATTGTGTACAATTTTTACTTCAAACCAATCAAGCCAGACTATTCCCCACAGAAATACAGGGCAACTGCGAAGCCAAAATGTCACTTATCATACGTTCATGGTGCGTGAGTTTTTTGTACAAATGTACAGATCATGCGCCACTGGACTGTGCTGGCTAAAAAAAACGACAGTATTTTTCGATGTCAATGAATCAAGAGACATTGTGCATGCAGTTATCATATTCCGCCGCCGAGCAGCGTTCAAGTACGACATGCCAGTTTGGTGGTCCCCACGGCGATCCCCCAAGTTCCGCATGACGGTTATCCAATGGTATAGTAAGCGCCGGAAAGGCACGAGCGTAAAATGAAGCTTGATTACTAAGTTGCGGTCGAAGAAAAAGAGATGGATCGAATTTGTAACAATATTGTAGCTTATTATCTTTTAAACCGCGTAGCAAGTCGTAGAGATCCTTCCGACAGATCTTTGTACTTTCAGCCGCGACTAAGATGTCGTTCCTCAACGCTTGAGTATGTTGCCGACTTACAGGCACTGTGACTCTTCCGTGCAGGTGAAAGATGAGATCCCCTTCCAACTGAGCCTGAATTGTGCAATGACGACGCAACAATTCTCGACATAAAGATGGACTTAAGAATAGGTGGCAGCGTTTTGTCCACGATAGTGTCTTCCGCCAAACCTTGGATGATGATTCATTCGTCGTCAGATCCTTCACGAATCTCTCTATTCCTTCCTGCCCTGTGATCTTGGCCGCATAGTGCTTTCAGGCGTGCCATGTCGGCCGAGAAGTACTTGGACGGATTAAATATGCACTGCTCTTAGCGAGTTTGAGGTCCAGAGGGAGAGTCGTTACTCCGTGGTGGCTGATCCCCTAAACATTTGCTGTCCATTGATTCAAAAGCGGTAAACTGGACCGACGAAGCTGACTTGTTGTCCGCTCTAGAATAGTACTGAGCTTACACGTAGTGCTGACTAGATCTTGGCTGATGTCTGTAATATACTCTACCCATCTTATACGTACAATCTCTAACGACACAAGCCTTTTGAAAACGGAGGTGAGTAGCGTCTGTTCACAGTCTTTAAAGTTAGATACCTTAACTTCTGCAGGGACAGCCGCTCCTCGTTGACCAGAATTAATGCATAGACAAATGTAAACAAATGCAACATGGTGTCGATCCAAGCCTCCCGGAGTTCTGTACCCGATGCTGCCGACGTGTCGTGGACTAGACTGAGGTCTAAATCTTCTGAGCTCAGCGATGACGGCACTCCGACATCCTCACTGAGTGAGACGTTGTGCGAGTGCAATCCTGCCGTGCTCCGAGAACCCGTGTGCCCAACCATTACACCGTTGAGACCGCCAGCATAAGTTTTGGGGCGAAGACGATGAAGGGGGAAATACTGCAGGTACTGCCCACACAGCTACCGAAGCCATCATGGTCGTGGCCCCTCTCCAGGGTGGCAGGGCACGTCCCCCGGGGGGGGGGTCATCCGGCTCTTCCGGCTCCTCCATTATCCACCGCAGAGGATACGACTCGAATACGAAAGCTGATTGTTCGCTAGTCCTATGCCTCCAATCACGCGAATTGAAAATTTGGAACGTTGCTATTTTTGAATTCTCCCAATGTTAAGAGCTTTCAAAGGAGGAGTCGCAAGAAATCGCGTTCTGTGAGGCTATCCACATGCTTGTATGCTCTCCACTTGTGCTGCGGCTATGCACTTGTATTTCTTTGAGTCGCTTGTTTCTTTCTCGGGATCTCCTACATGTATTGAGTCCTAGCCACACAGAAAGCTACGATTGGCAGAATATCGTGAAACATGCTGCGACCAGACAACTGCTACACAGATGTTGGCATTGGGCATTTTACACTCTTCAACTCTATTCTGAGCTTGTCTGCGAGGCGCTATTAACGCTTCAGCAAGTTGACAAATTGCGCTTACTAATACTCGCACAAAAAACTCGTCGAGTTGTTATCTCTTCAAGAAGCAGTATTGCAGCTTTAAGCGATGGAGACAACCAATTTCCGGGATGCTTTCTGCTTTCCTGTATCCCTAGCTGGTTTAATTCAATGTCATTCCATGAGTTTGTCGTACCTCCGTGTGATCTCCATTAGTGGTGCAACCGCTTTTTGCTGCTTATCTCGCCTCTGCCGTTAGCTACTCAAAAGGTGCAGTCCTTGGTGCTCTAGCACCTGAGAGCGCGTGTAACGGGGCATCCTTCGTTTGGGGTGTCACGAAACTTCACGTACACTGGTACATGCAGAGGAAGCGAATCTACTTAAGCGGATCGTTTGAGTAAAGGGTAAGAAGAGAACTGTATTTATTATAGTTAAACTATCAGTGAAACGTTGATCTGAATCGAACTAAAATAACCTATATTGTCGTATGACGACAACCTGCTCACCACACATTACGCGCGTCTAGCAGCGGTTGGTGGTAATCTTGGTTGATTTGTCGTTATCAACCAATCTTTGAGCAGCGCATAGAGATTATCCTACAAGGGGATACTATTCCTTCACTATTATCCATCTCGGATAATATTGGTAGGTAATTGTCACGCTAGACAATCTCCCTATTGACATCGTTTGGTGTCAATATCATGTAACGGGCTCCCCCGTTACAACGCGCCTACAAAGAGGCTGCTGAGGGGTGACGATTCAGAGGAGGACGCACAAGAAGAGGATTTCTATTATAGGTACTAGAGGGTGGTTTGGGAAATCCAAGTCGTTCAAGCAAGAGGACAAACTGGTGTCTCTTGATGACATTCACGATGACGTTGATCGCGCTTGATCCTTCCAAGTTCGTGTCCAAGCTCAGGGGTCAACTTGAGTGGGACAGGATCTTGTGGAAGTAAGGACTGGACTCTCAAGCGACCAAAAGAGTCCCGAATTTACAGCATGGTCCAGGAAGACCACGAAGCAAGACCCCGGGTACGATGCAATCCTGACGCATCTCAGAAAGAGATACATCGGCGCCAACCGAATAATTTCGGTCACGGGGATGACGAAGAGACACAAGAGATCCAGCATAAACAGCTGCAGGCGAGCAGCAGAGCTGGTTTGACATCGCGATCCAAGCATTGCCTTTCGACGGACCAACGTGAAGCTGCGGAGAAAGCAGCAGCAGAAGCGTTAGCGCAAGATAAAGGTGGAGAGACGATGAAGGCCGAAGCGAAGCCGACAGGTCCGTTGACTTCTTAGGAGCCGTTCAGTCACGCAAGCCCTTTGCGTATAGACTAGCTTTCGTTATGTATTTTTGAGCTAGAGGTCATGTTTTCTTGCTGTGCAGTTCAATGGTCATGAAAAAACTACTGGAATGCTTTTGATCACCTGTTTCTCGTTTTATCTCTCCAGTTCATCATTGTTGCTTCGTTTTGTAGGAAGGAATAGAATTGACCAGACCTGCGTTTTGTATGAACCATCTCGTGCGCGCTTGGGATGTTTCTTGTTGACCGCTCGGTCAGGGCAAAAGACAACCACTTCGTCTTGTGCCAGCTTAATCTAGTGACATCCATTCTCCTTGAAAAGGAACGGTGCACACTGACAGCGAATCGAGTCACTACCGGAAAGTTGCCAGTCCAATCAAAGCTGTCAATACGACACGTTTCGACACAAGCACTTGTGCGACAAGAATGGCTAATGGAGTGAAACGCTGCACGGATCACGTGCTACGAGCGTCCTACGATTGCCTTTGGTTCTATAGCCAGGCTCGTAGGTACAGTAATTGATGTAGCAGCTTTGGTCGCTTGAGAATCCAGTACTTACTTCCACAACATCCTGTCTCACTCAAGTCGATCCCTGAGCTTGGAAACGAACTTGGAAGGATCCAGCGTGATCGAATCTCATCGTGAGTGCTTTTGTTTCATCTTGGGTTGGGTGAATTTGGCTCAGCAAACGTGCCCATCATTGCCTATCTATGCTCATCTAGCACTTCACACCGCTCGTTCGAACCGTCGCACAGTGAGATTCGTGCTGTGTACCAAAGTTCCAGTAAAAATCTGGTCCGTGCAGGTCGCTCGCCTTGGGTGCATGCTCCTTGCTGGGGGTTTGCTGCCCTCTTGGCTGTAATAATGATCTTCTAACATCAAGCTTGATTTTTCCTACCCGATCCGGAATTCCAGAAGATAGCATGGCAGCACGGTAATTGCAGTCAGACATGCCACCACTTCGCAGGTGTCTCAAACGCCAACAAATTCGGTGATCACACAAAAATTCCGTGCGTTGATGGCAATGATAGTTAAACAGTGCCATCTTGTGTTCACCTGGAAGCTGCATGGACAACGTCGATTTAGCCAACGGAGAGAAGGGCATGACACTCGTCATCGAAGCGGAAGTGCATTCAGTCGTCCAAAACGTAGTCAACTGTTCACGCAATTGGTGTCATAACAATCCTCAATCCCGCGAGACTTGCAAGACACTGCAATGGCTGCCTTGACATTGTCAGCGGCGTTGTCTTAGAACACGTCTCCGTTGCGAAAGCATTCCTTGCCACATCACCATTCAAATGCGTGCGTTGCCAAAGCACCAGTCCACTGCCAGTATACGCATTTCAATTCGACAATCATTGCATTGGATCGAAGAAAAGCAGACACAGCAGACGATCAGATTGAGTTGAACACGTGGCATCATCGTCAAGTTTACCATGCAGCAAGCTGAGTGAGGAAGTCCAGATAGAGCACGTTACACTCAGCCGGTCACTCATCTTCCATTCTTCCTTCCACAGTCTACTATGTATGTAAGCCTTGCAAGTGCAACTCCAATCACAAGTTAGTTAAACCAAAAAGTGCGCAGGAGGTTCGTGAGGTCAAATATCTTTATACGTCGGCTGTACTATTCAATGGGGTTGCTGTGGAAAACCCCATCGTCGCGGTGGTTTCTTGTCAGTACGCAAACATGTGATGTCGCACCGCACGACGTAGACGAGATCACCAAGTGTTGGGTTCATCATTCCCCTTCGGCGCTCTCGCTCGATATCTCACCCGATCACGACAGGTGTCACATTCGATCACGGTAGGGATAATCGCAGTACAACAGAGTGCGAGTCAGCGATACATCCAACCGATGGTGCATCTTGCAGCGACAAAGTTCGCCTAATACATGTACCAAGCCGCTGTGAGAGCACAGAGTCACGCATGACTACAAGAAGTCGCCCTTTGCCCCCTTGCAGTTGCACCTCCAAGGCAATCAGGACATGTTCAGCGCTTGCGGCACCACTTCGAAATCGTCCGGCAAACTTGCACTTGCCTACCACACCGTCCACGTTATCAATTTCATAAATTTGCGCCATATTGTAATCCCTCAAGACAGCCTGTACGATAGCCGTCATTTGAACAGGGGCTGGCAAGACGAATTCACTGGTGTGGAGGGACGTCGTATCCGTCATGGCGATACGTCGTTCAAAATCGTCCAAGCTCATTTGTTGAGGGATGAATAGCTCCCCGATAACTGGCGGAAGGTCGACGTCGTAGCTATGCGCACTCGTTTCAATTTCTAGAGCGACCGTGTCGAGACCGCCCATGAAATCCACATGCAGCTGTACCATCGAATTTGATCCACCAGGGAATAGCACTGGTAGAGTTGGAAATGGAAAAACTTGCTGAGGATTCTTGCCAACAACTTGGATGCGTGAAATGGGCTCACTTGAGTTATTCGCCAGCCACATCTGGATGACATTCATGCTTGGAGAGTGCGTCGAGGGTTGGCGCAGGAAGGCGTAGTGAATATCCAATCCATTACTAACAAGTGAAGAAAGTAGTTCGTAACGCGGAGGCGGAGTCATCGACGAAGAGACGCTCAGATTCATTAAATCGCCCAGAAGGTTGGATGTCGGGCCTGCTAGTGCAGCCACGGTCCCATCCATTTGCGACAGAGGGTTAGCCGGGAACCCACCCGGTGGCGATCCCAACAGATCAACCGGACCAAAAGCGTTGATAGACCCGGGTTTCTTCGGCTGCTGTCGTTTCTGCGGCGGCTTTGTTTTTCCACCCTTCTGGCGTCGTCGAGGGTGATCTTTTGTATCAGGGGACGACTCCTCCGACTCACTTTCGGACCGTGAACTAGACGAAGCGGACTCGGAACTAGATCGACTTTCTTCGCTGCTACTGTCTTCAGAGTCGTCTTCCGAGCCACTTCCGAGGTCAGAGTCGTGCGATGACGCTGAGTCTGACTCGGAACTGGATGCACTCTCGTCCGTGTAAAAACCCTGTTTATCACTTCTTCTTCGTTCTTCCTTTTCTATAGCCCTGGAACCAAGGTGCGAGGAACCGCCACGGTTACTGTCGACCAAAGAGGATTCGTCACGGAGCGACGGGTCTGGCTTGGACAATCGCCAATTTGGCAGAGGATGGTATCCTGGAACACTGTGCCGCACAAGACTTGAGAGCGTGCCGAGCGTAAAGCGCGACTTGCTTTCGTCGTCGTATCCGATCAGCGGTGCTGGCTTCTTACTTGCAAACAACTTGTGCGGGTCCACAACACTGGCATCTCCAGAAAGTGCAGCGCGGACTAAACGAGCGCGGTCACGCACATCGTAGTCAATGTCGAACTTGCATAGCTCCATCACATACTGAAGCAGAAGTTGAACAGTCCGATTCTGTGACTCACGGAGACCAAGTTTGACTGCAAGATTCAAGAGCTGAAGCCGCACCTCAGTCGCTTCATCTGAAAAATTCTTTACGAGCAGTCGAAGCGATTCTTCTGCGCAAACAGTGCCGATCCCGTCGTCGTTAAACTCGCCCAGCATCCAGACAATCGAAGCACGTGCCGATGGACTAGTCACACGACCAGTCACCATCATCGCAGCTAAGGAGCGCACGACACGGTGACGGTCTTTCTTGATTGTTTGCTGCTGGAGCAACTGACGAATGACCACCACACTTTCGGCGACAACCTGTTCACTTGACGAGCGCACGAGACGCATCAATCCGCTTAAGCAGCGCTCAGCGACCGATGGCATGGCATCTGCCACGCGTCCAAGAGCTCGAACTGTCATGGTCACAAAGGACTTGTCTACATGGCGGACATACGCCTGAAACTCGCGCAGGATAATACTCACGTTGTCGTTCGTGACAAGTGCAGTCAAAATATCGAGCTTTAGCTTTCTCGCATAAGCCGGGTCTGTAGCGCGAACAAAGAATTCTTGCAAGAACGGGCGAAACATATTTGGATGTGTCATCGCCATGGACGAAATGACCGAGAGCACAACGTACTGAATCTCCCGCTGGTTGCGCATGATACGCACAAGCGACTTGCCAATGAGCGTAGACGACGCCATGCTGTGCGTGCCACAATAGTAGTGCAGCGTCGCAACAGCGAGCACCACTGCACTGTTCCTAGATTTGAGCAGTGGAATCGACGAGCGTAGCAACAATCGGTGGTCTTCATCCAGTTTCTCTCCAGCTCCGAGGCCGCTCACGAACGTATCTCTGCGGAACACCGAGCCGACAGACGCCACTGGTTCTCCTCTGGAACCTTCTCGTCCAAGCATAAATGGCGACTTGTTCACGAACGAACGGTCTGCTCCCCGTCGAAGCTTTAGCTTCTCGTTTGCATCCTCCGAGTCGTCACTATCTCCATTCTCATCCGAATAAAACCCACTTTTTCTACGGGACTTTGTCGCCTTGTCCTTCTCCGCTTCATTTTGCCTCGACTGCTGCAGCTCTTCCACGACTTGAAACTGGTCACGACAGTACTGGGTCAACACATTCAACGTAACTGTCTGTCCCCACTCATCAATGTCTGCCAACAAGTGACACAATTTCCGAAACGGACCGTGCAGCAGGTCCAGACGATCTGGACACACTTCACTCAGTGCCTGGACGGCACTGCCCAGCACCATCGTACTCGAGTCATGCAGGAGAGTCCCAATGATCTCGGCCAGCACGTCCTTCTGCTCCGGGTCCACTACAAACACTTTGCTGATCGCGTTTGTCGCGCACTTGCGCACATAGGGCGAGTCATCAGCTGCACATTTCCGAATAGCAATGAGTTGAATCTGAAGGATCTCCCGGACCCGGATACTGGTCATCACTCGGAGCGCTAAAGCTCGGATGAGTTGGTTCGGGTCGGCTAAATCCTTTTGAAAGCTATTGATGCTCAGGAGCGCTAACTCACGACACTGGTGCGTAGCATCGGCGTAGTGAACTAAGTACATGTACACGAGTTTCTTGACTTCGACACTGGCGACAATGACGTTCTTGACCACGTCGGCAAAGAGACTGGAGACGTCTTCGCCTTTCGAGATACTGGCGAGTAGCGCTTTCATGGCCTCGAGCTTCTCGGCATGGCCGGCGACGCCGAGTTTATTGTCCAGTAGTTTACGGATCCGGTCGAGATTCATGCTTTCTTCGAAAAAGTGCGCGTCGCCCGTGATGCTGCTCTTCATTCGTTCCATGATAGGAGAGGGATGGGTGGGACGGGCTGGAGGGTGGTTTTCTAGGATGACTTTCGAGGAATGCGGGGAGGGAGTTGACGAGAGGTTTTTTAAGATTGAGGGGAGGGAGGTAGACTGGATACTTTCAGCTTTCATTATGTAGCTGCGTACCTGGTTGGCAACGGGTTGGTAAGGTTAATTGGCTTGGATTTGTACTAGTTTGGTGACTTGTAGGTCTGAGAGTTGCACCTCGTGCGAATAATAGCTCAGAGTGGACGTGTTGATTTTATTCAAGATAAGGGGTGTGTATCGATTGGATTTGTAACAAGTTACTTGGGGCGTGTGTGAATTCAGGGGCGTAACTTTTCACACAGGGGCGTAGCTTTTCACTATTTAGTTTTTGTTGAGTTGGCTTTATCGGACTTAGAACGAGTGTAAGGTATACCTAGCCTTATTTACACATGCAGGTGGATAAGTACGATTTAAAAGTTCGGCATTCACCTTGCGATTTGCCATTAGTAGCTCTATCCTTCAAATTCGCAGTTACTCGTTATGTTTACGGATATAGGGTTGAAACTATCCAAAAAGAAAGTGAATTTGCAGGTAAATAAAAACATGTATAGGATTCTTCCATTCCACTTGACATCACCAACCCAAACCTTTCCGTCGGCACAAGAAGTGTTTGCGAAAGATAGAAAGAATTCATGACATTCTATTACAAACAGCTAACTACAACATGTCTGAAACTTTCGAACTAAGGATTAGAGCCGGACCCGGTGGCGCTTCGTGAAGGTCCTCTGCAAAGCCGCCAGTCTCTATAGTTCTTGAGTAAAGAAGTCAGCATGGGCGTGCAACATCGCTTCTAGAACGACTATGGCGCTTCGAGTTTGCTTTTTCCGATCTTTTGAAAAATGAGGCGCTTGGTTAAAAATACTGAAAGGTGCGATGGGCGTTGTATTCGATGGAAAAGTGTGGGTAGACTGTTAAAGTCTCATCAAAGTACCTCAGATGTGTTCATTATGTGGCAGTAACCCCCGCCGAGAACCGGATCATTTTCATTGCTGGACTATCGTTATTATGAATCGCCATCCGGTGTGTGCCCTTCACTTTACAGTCTCGTCTTCGCGGTCGGGTTGTGTTGACATTTCACTGACACCCGATGTCGCCGGCGCTTGTAGGCTAGGCGCGTAAGCCTGCGAAGCGATCGCAGTATCCATTGACGATTTCTTTTTCACTAATGTATATGCTCCATCATACCGGCCAAAGCGCGAGTTGTTCTTTGCTTATTTGCTATGCTAAAACTTCTCAAGCTCTATGATTGCCGGTGATTTTAATTACTTTTAATGTCCGTCGGTAGACCGTCTTGGGCCTCAGGGATCGAGCAGATCCGAAAGTTCGACGCTGGATGTATTTCTTGCCCATCAGAAGTGGGCTAATGCCAGGGTCCTGCGCAATCATGCTGAGGATGAAGAGGCGGACAGCACTGTGAATTATTGCACGTATTGAAAAGCGACGAGACTAATCGACCAATTTTGCTTGCCAAACAGCTGAGTCATTTAGGTCTTATGGATAGCTGTACCCTCGCCACCTGATAATTCTGACCAACAGGAAGTGAAGATTCATCTTTAGGCACAGTGCAGCTTCGAGCAAATACCAATCAGCCGGTAGGTGACATATCCTATCCAGGCTAATCAACTTGCTCGCAATGTGAATAAACTCATCGATGAGATGAATAGGTTGTCTGTAGGCAGGACGTCTTCTGCTCATTGGTGGGACACAGCTGTACAAAGTTGTAAGAGACGCATTGCACGGGTCCGAAAAGAGGCGCAGCAATGGCGGTATTGTTACAAAACTAAAGTATTGCTGTGGCGGAGCTACTTAGCACTTCTCAACAGAGGAAGTGATAGACTCACAGAGTCTTTTAGTTATAAGAAACCATCAACGACGTACAGTCGTTTAAGCGTACAAGCTTAACAATCTCGGTTTAGAAGGGATTACGGTTCACAGATTCACACACTAACTAGTCACTACAAGTTAAACAAGAGTAAATGCCTTGAAATGGCTGACGCTCTTACGTTACACTACGCCTTGACTAGTCACTATTGGTAAACGATTCAAAAGGGTAACTGAACTTTGAATATTCTTTAACAACGGTAGCAGTTCTGAGTAACTTCTACATTGCGATCCTGTGACATGTGTCGTATCCCTTATCCATAACTGATAAGGTGCGGTATTACCGTAAGCACTTGGAAACGATACTGTACCACTCAGATCCACCATTTTTTAGTTGGTGTGGACACACAATATAACCGGCTCAATTACCACATTCAACCCCGTTACAACTGCAGTGAAAAAGGTACCATTTTAAAACTCGCCACCTGTGGATCACCGCAAGCTCGGAAGCAGTACGTCAAAAGTACATGGTACGGCTCGGGCTCGTCCAGAATAAACTGCCGCCAGTCCCAGATGGTTCGTTGATTGTTTTGCGAAATGAGAAAGGGATCAGGCGATGTCTAATCATTCACAAACACGATCCATCGTTTACAAGACAAATGAATGTTCATGCGCAATTTTCTTTAAATAGTAGTCGATCTAGGTGCTGTTCATCGATAGAACCTTTGTCTTCTTTGCCGGCGGCGATGAAGTCTTTTGTCTCTATTCGGTCGAGCGACGATATCTCCTACCACTTATCAAGCCATGCTGCAAGGTTTTACCGAAGTAGAGGTTTTACATACTCCCGGCTTTAGCCGCCGCAAACAGCCGGTCCTGGTGGTCTTGATAATGAGTACCACACGGATTCACATGTGCTATTGGTATCGGCTCTGATGGCGGTAAGCAATGATATATTGCGGGGGGAACCAAGTCGCAGTCGCTTTGGAAGCTCTTTTGATTTCTCTACAGAGGAGAGAGGATGCAGAAGACGGGTTTGATTACCATCGAGTATCTTTGCTCCAAACAAATTCCAGATTTCGCATTAATTTTGGCGACTCGACTACAGAGTGCATTGCCTCAATCGATTCGAGAATCTCATCAGGGGTTTGTTCGTGGCACACAAATGATGAAGCTAGTGATGATGATCTCTTCCTTTTCGCGTCGTCTCGTGATGACGTCGACCTACCAATCAGCTCTAGCAGCGTCATTCGGCTACTTGATTTTCGCAAGGCGTACGAGACAGTAGAAGGGGCCTTTATGTACAAATTCCTTTGACACTTTCACTTTGTGAGCAGTCTGGCTAGATCAATTAGTTCATGTCCAACGGAACGACAGCGAGTTTCGCTGTTGATGTAGAGAAATAGGATCTCGTTCCTGTCGGTCCTGAATCAGTCAAAGATGTCCCTTGGCACTGTTACTATTTTACTCGTTGTGTAATTGATGGGCTACGATATTTAGCAGGCTCCAAGTCTTAAAGAGCTTTTATATAGGAGGATGCTAATACTAAGCACATTCCTAGGGTTGGGCAGATCGAAGATTTGTCAATTGTTGAAAGCCCTTCGAGCTTTTTGATTCGAACTTTTGGCGGCATCAAATATTCTAGTCGATGATTATAAGCGGCTCGAATATGCGACTCCAATAATTTTAGACAGAATATTCGAAATTGTTAGGCTAATTTTAATAGCGAGTTCAATTTACACGGTAAAAATAATAAATCTCAAATTGCATGATTATATATAGATACACTTTCAAAGGAATGAAATTACTTAAACAAGCTTTTGGATTGGGAGATAACAAACCGGTATCAGCAGATGCGGAGTCGATTATAAATTGGACCTATTTGAGCGACAAATCATCTTCAACGAAGTAGAAACGCCGACTGCATAATTTAATATTATTTACGTACAGGTATATATCGAGTGCATGAACCCCTTCATCTTGACATGAACATCGCTCAAAATATACTCGTAATCTCGACCGCCGCCGCATCCTCAAGATCGAGGGCCACCACCACATACTTCAGCCTCACTTCTCCGACTAACCCACAAAAGGCAAGATCTTATCACGACCCTTAAGAAAAGATTTGTCCAAGTCGGAACCGGAGAATGGGGTGATGCAAGAAAAAGATAATGATCACTTTGAAATCGACAAAGACGCCCGTTTAGCCAAGTTCGATCGTTGCAAGTGAACTAACAAGGTGAAAAGTTCGACATGAACGAACCTGACCCATCACACTGCAGAAAAATATTTAGCAAGCTAATGGTCCCCGTTAACCTACAGCAGCGGCGCTCAGGAGGTGACGTGCCCCGAATTTGCAAGTGCTTAAGGTCAATATTCAAGATCAGTTTGAGGCGGCACATTTTAAAATTCCTTTAATAACCATCAACCATTTTCTATGGTCTAGAATGTAAAATTTAAAAGATGGCAAAATTACTATGTAGCTGCGTGACTGTACATCAAGAATCGACCTTTACCACTGCATCTAAGCCGCGTTCGAAGAAAAACGAGAAAAAATAACCTGAATCGCTCACAAACTTTAAGCAACGCAATCTTTACGATGGATGTCTAGACATCGTTAGATAGAGTCCCGTTCGTGTCGATTACGATGCATTTATTGCCGACTGGAAACTGTAATTGATTATGAATATTTTTCACACGTGCATTGTTTGGACGCAGGAATTAATAAGTCAGCAGTGGTCAAAATTAAAATATCAAAATGATTACCTTTGGCAAGACCTTATGGTTTACTGCCGATAATGCGGGATAATACGGAATGAATGAATGATGGAATGATGCTTTAGCGGTTAGAGAATGACCCTGATGTAAAACTGCCCCCGGACACGTACTTTCGGTGCTTAGTGCATGTCCTGATCTTAGTGTAACAAAGACCACAAAATAAAAAAGCCAGTATTCCCGCCAATCGTGATACCGCCCATGCAACCCGATAATAGCCTCACAGATTGAATCATCTGTATGGCTAGTGCAAGGCAAACAATGATGGAAATTTACAGAGTGCTATAATCATGTTTTTTAAGCCCTTGATCAACGTTAAGATGCGCTGGAATTTAGCTCACGATATGTTAGACTAGGCTCAAAACTTACGCAAGCTATTAGCCAAGCACACACACGAATTTGTTGACGATAAAGGATCATAAACACAAAAATGACGACGCACAGCACGCGATGGTGTTACAGTGCAAGACATTATATTGAATGAGCCAAAGCTATAATTTACATAGTAGGACACTGACAAAAATCTTCAAGAGTTTTTTTAGGCCCTCAAGAGCGCTACGGACATGACATGCGGTGACGTATGCATTATGACATCAAACATGGCTCCGCTCTACACCAAATCGTTTGAAGCTCATCTTTATTTTCTTGTCGATCTTGATGTTCACAAGTAAGATGAAAATAGTAATTATCAAATGCGAGGAAACTCTCTGCTTGGACACTTTCTCGAACTCAACTACGATATTTCGGGCCACAGCTGTACGGTGGAAACTCTTCTTGATTCACGAATTCGGTATGACTACTACTGTGTGCGGTATGATGAGGACCCTGATAAGCTGAAGGCTCAGATGATTCCTTTGAAGATCATGACATGCATATACATAGACGTAAAAACCAATCGTATCGGATACCGCCATCACAGAATTAAATGGTCATATCTCTAACGAATTTGAAGGCCGATATTTCAACGAGCCAAGGACGGTCATTATGGTAATGTAGATGAGATCGATGCCAACAACTCAGAAAACGGGGACGGTGACACATGCGAGGTTCGAAATAAAGCTGTGCGCATAACACACTCAAATAACAGCGCCCAGCTAGTACTAGTTATAGAATTAAAAGTAAAAAGATGGGTGGACGTGTGTTTATGACCTGGACTGTACATGCGTGAAGCGCAAGAAGGTCTTATGACGATACCACTTATGTGGTGCAGGTCAAGACAAAAAACGTTTCCGACATTGGCAATAATGATTTCGAACTATCTGGACATTCGTAGGACCTCGACTTCATCTAAAACTGATTTCATGCGGCTAGCCTGTCCGCAATTGACAAACAATGTGTATCGGGTACACAGCATTCGCGCGAGTTTTCGCCTTGTAAATTGGCCTAAAAAATAAGCACGCAAGTACATAAGATCCTGTCAAATTTGATAGTGCCGAGACCCGGGGTTGTGTGTTGATTTAAACTCATAATTTATACAAAAGAGCCAAAAAATAATCGATCTTTTTGCCAGGGTGGCTTTGGCTATTTTCGAGTGTGTGGACAAAGGCGCTGTACACAGTCAACGTCCCTGTGTTGATGATTCTTATGATAAAGTGTTGGAAGTGGAGTTGTCAAAGTGAACACTCCTTTCCGGGCCAACTCCCCAGCTGCCAGGTTTGGCAGTTATAGTGAGTAACTTGTGCGGTTACGCTAAGTTCTAAAAGTTTCTTAGTTTGGTAAGCGCAGAATACAGACATGCCTCACTTCTAGATTGGATAAGCCACTGACGAGGCCCCCGGTGGGGACCGAAACGCGTCTGGCGCGCGTTTTGATACAGAAGTCTTTTACCACGCTCTCTCTTTTTCCAACAAACGTGGGCTGACAAGTAAATGCACTTAGACGTTTTTTTAGTTACCTTCTATGTCCATGACGTTCAATCAGTTCTGCGTAGGTTACCAACAAACCCCGTGCTTATGTCAGCGAAAGCATCCTTTTACCATAGGTCGCGTCTTCTCACCATCATTTGTATAGTTTCCGACTTATAATTGGTTTTTTCTATGTCGCCAGTTGCACTGTGGAAATCGGTGGCCGCGCTCTATTGATACCCTAGGCGCACATATTGTAAAATACCTAAGCTGTTCCGGACCCTGCTTGTCTAAATAAAGCGTCGATCTCAATAAATCGGCCTCCATCTCCCGCTTGCGCCTGTAAAACTAAAACAAACCCGATAATCCTTCCTTATAACTAAAGGGCTCACGTGAGATATCACCTATTTAAAACCAATTTTGCATCCACAATTTGAATTACAATTACGATGGCTTCATAGAAGCCCGCCTAGACAAACATGATCAAAGACGTTCAAGTTTCTTTTGTTAGCACAAGAAAATCTACCCTTCGCTTACGCAAGCATACTTGATCAAGCAGATTGAAAAGAAGATTAACGTCCTATCATTCGAGAACCATTTCGTCGGCGATCGAATGATCGGCTGAAAACCTTGCCAAGAAGAAGGATATGAATCTAGCAACAAAGCGGCAGAGTAACATGAAGTACCCACTTATGGAGACAGCTCTGTATCAATGGCTTCTCACATATCAGAACCTAGTTAACATGTCAGTGACCTTACCAAAGATAAGAATGTGTACTTCCTCGCTAAGCTCTGCCCTGATCATGAGAATTTTGAGTTCTCTAATGGTTGGCCGGATGCTTTCAAGAATCACCACAGCATTAGGCCCTACATACGCTTCGGTAAATCTAGTTCCGTCAACACGGCTGTGATTATAATGACCTTGCCGCAAATTGTTTTGACTCTGGATCAGTATGGGCCACGTGACATATGCACCATTGATTAAAACTGATTTTTTTACAGAATGCAGTTAATTTTAGCATGGAATGCCCACTTCCAAACCATCAACTTACTTCAAATACCATTTTTACTCTCAGCAGACGGACAATTCATCAAACACAAAACAGCTTGAAGGACGCAAAAGAACAAGTACTGTCTCACGCTGGATGTGTCCCACAATGCTAATGGTCCGGAAAAGCTACCACTTTTTGTCGCTGGCATGCGAAAGTCCTCGCTACCTGAGAATTTTAAATTGATACAGCTTATATGCAAGCATAGTAACAACCCGAAGGCTTGAATGACACAAGTCATCTGTGTTGATTGGCTAAAGGGTTTTATACAAGGATGGCAGGGAGTTATGCTGTTCTAATTTCTTACAGTTGCAGCACAAATATCTCCCTTTCGCAGCTCGCATCGGTTGGTACACTATTAAAAAACAACCGTGTTCTATGTGCCACCAAGCACAACATCGAATACTAAGCCTTGCAATGCACAAATCATATGAAGCATTAGTGATAAATAAAGCCGCCGTTTTAAAAGCTTCTTTGTCGAGCACATTCAGAACAAGATAGCAGACCCCGAGAAAATTGATAAGCGTGAGGGCTATGCATACTGATATTATGTCCCGGACCATGGATGTAAAGTCAAACACAATTGCAACTAATTTTGTCATTGCCAAATTTGCACAACCAGCGCTGACGTTTTACCGGTCCCAGAAGAGTCGCTTATTTACCCTGAAGCGATCAAGGACTCGAAGGGCAGGTTTAATACGTCGTTACCGGAACCCAATGTATCTTTGCAATCTCATCTACTACACTTCTGAGGACCAAGTTGCTAATGCTCCGACTCGGGAGGAATTCGTCCTGCAGGTCTCCTTAAGTCATGAGCCGGGAGATGAAGCGGAGGCAGACGACATTCAAGAAATGATTCTTGTGAAGGAAACTCGGGCACTCCAGTTTGCAAATTCGCTGCAGCAGTTCTGGATGCAGAAATACGCTGTCAACTACGAGATGCTTACTGCTAGCAGATAGCCAAAGAAAATATCTCATTATGAAGACTAGCAGGATCATTTTCGGAAGCAATTTCTTAGAGATATTTTTCCAGGTTAGCTGCTCAAAATGTATAGAATTTGCGTCGGATGTTTATCTGCTATAGCGGGTTATCAATTACGATGTATTTTGGGGCCACCTGTGGAGTAGCAATTATCTACTTTTGTATACCTGCGAATAACTTATGCCTACCTACTTGGCACTCAACCCCAAGCACTAATTAAGGCATGTTATCAACAAAGGAAGTAGACAGGCTCTACTGTATTACGCTGAAATGTCGATATGTTTGGCAAGCAGTTTCAACCTTCGCTTTACGATTGAATGTTTGACCAGCTCTCCAGTATTCGGCAATCGAAAAACTCAATTGAAACAAAGGTTATAAAGGTGTTTGAATTATTAGGTCTAACCCGAATATTCGGGACGAACCTTTGATATCCCCAGCCCTCGACTCTTCTTCTTGATCGGGCGAAACAACTAAGTCACCTTTTTTACTTGTTCCTAAATTTAAGAGTCTCTATGGCTTCACGTCCAGCCGATGAAAATAAGCTGATTTTAATTAACACTTCGGTCCGCCTCGGTAGTTTCCAGAAATGTCGATGTTGCCTTCTGCAGAGAATACCCGGTACTTGAAATATGAAGTCGGCACAAGGGAGTCTGTTAGTCTAAATTGGAAATTTTTCCTTTGTCTTATCCGACGGAGGCTTTTGACTGCACGAATATTCGCGACAAGTGTGTAACATCGAGTGGTCATTTTATGGTATCATACTACCTGCGGTTCTCTTCAAGCGGATGGTTTCGGCATTCTGGGTTGGGCACTTGATGATCTAACGTAATTTTACGGGCAATTCTTGTGGTAAGACGCAATCGCGAATAAATTTAGCAGGCATTTGATTCATCTGGGCCTTCTGGTCACGCTGAAGTAGAAGGGATGGGTAGCCCTCTCTACTTTAGGTGTGGCCACCTAAACCCACAGTACGTAATTGCACTAAAACATCCCACACAGGATTATGACATGTACGTTTTGGCATGACATTTTTGTAGATTTAGTACACATCGCTCCTGGTCAACACTAACCTTATCGATATCCATTTGGTGGACAAAGTTGACCATTCACTGACGCAGATTCCTCCAACGACACCTCCTAGTATCCTGGACAAAGTTGACCATTCACTGACGCAGATTCCTCCAACGACACCTCCTCGTCAACTAGTCACTAGGTGTGCAATCTTGAAGGTCTCCTAGCGCCTATGGCAGACCAATTCTCGGCAGTGTATTCCTAATGGCGGCTCAACATCCAAGTCTTTCACAAGCGGCTGATGCGAAGATTGGGCACTATCTTATTATCTGCCCTTTCCGCCTGTCTCAGCTGCCCACGAGCCAATTTTCACAGCTCCTACTTGTTTATGAATTGTATTTTAATGGGGAAAATTCTTGGACCATTTATACTCATGGCACTTCTCCTTTCGTTTTTTTGTTTCTAGGTGTAGTGGGTACATTTAGAATTCCTGATGACCGACGTCTGCCTTTTTTGGCGGGACCTTCACATCCTCAACCGGATGATCACTACTTCCTGGATGATCTGGGGCCAGCCAGTCCTGTAACGGGGCACCCTGAAGCTTGTACTGGTGACAGTACAAGCTACTTATTCTGATAACAGAATAAGGCGGTGCCTCGTAACTTCACGTACACTCGTACGTGCAGAGGAAGACGGTAAGAAGAAGCGAGTACTTGGTTAGAGTAAAAAGTAGAACTGTATTTATAATAGTTAATGTCTGCAATAAATCACTATTTATCTTCATCTAACTATGTCTTAAATCAGTTATCTGCTCACCACTCATTGCGTGCGTCTGTCGTGGCGTCGTCTTCGTTGGTTGATATAATGGCCTATATCAACCAATTAGGAACTACTTGAAGTGCTACAGAATATTTGTCCTTATGACAATATTCTGAGAATATAACTCTTATAGTTATATTCTATTAACAATTTCTTATAAATTGTTATGTAACGATTCACCCCGTTACATCACCCCCCTTAACCATCAGTCACTTTAGTGACTGATTGACTAAATGGATACTCGTCCCAAATCATTTGGGACGGGGTTTGCACTTGTTGGTCCGCGTCCACTTTCCAACATCTCATCGCATGGTAAACAAGCCCATGCGATGCGCGAGCAAGGCCGCCGAGAGCGCGTCTGCACGTCTCTGTGCGGACGCCGAAGCAGAAACTACAGCAACTGATGTCCCATCGGTTGCTGAAGCGACTCAGCCTGTATCACCTGGTGATGCAGGCGCTGGTCATGAAGACACTCCTGTCTTCACAGAGTACGAGCTCGGTGTCTTGTACTCTCCTGATACGGAAGACGGATCCGTATCGACGGCGATTGAATCCAAGCCGCCTGCCAAGCGTGGCATGGACGATGCTTTGCGTCTCAGCATCTTTGGTTCATCTGATGAATCAGATGAACCATCGCCGAAGCGTAGGCGCTCGAGGTCGCGAGACTCGGGCGCTAACAGTGGTGTCGTTTCTCCTATGGACACCACTTCGCAACGAGGTGCCAGTACTTCTGTCGGCACGTCGCAGGAAGAGCGGGACCGCAATGTGTTGCGTCTAGCTCCTGAAAAGAAGGCATGGATGCCTCCAAAATCCGTCATGGATCACTTGTCGGCGACGACGAGTGATCGTTATCGAACACGATTGTTCGATTCGTCAAGGATCCATCACCTTGATCAGCGCGAAAAACTATCGCGCTGAACATGAATTCTTCATCGATGCTTTCTTTAGACATTGATGGTACAGTGGGAATCACAAACGTGATGGTTCCTCACTACTTCAGACGTGGAACGCCTACATCCATAACCTCGAGGATGTAGGTCGCGACGCTTGGAACGACAAACTTATCAAAGCTCGTGATAAGTTTGGAAAGCGAACCCCGACAGGTGCACGCTACAAGCTGCATCGTATGTCATGGGAGAAAGGATTGCCCTGCCTCTCTTGGGGAGACTCGTGCCCATGTTGTGTGAACAACTCTGCACGAGCACCTAAGGAGGCTTACCTCCTTACCAGCCCGTGGTGGCGCGTACGTGTCTCTAGTGAGATGTACGAAGGGATTGACAACCTGAAATCCCTTTACGACCGTGCCGGGAAGACTTTCTCCGGCGGTCCTTCTGCGGCACAGGATGTGCCGCGTCGTACTGCTCAACTAGACCCAGTACGTCAACCATCAGTTGGGAGCGGGTCTCCCAAGAATCCCAGGACGGGGGATAGCCGCGCCACCGGACGAGATAACTCGTCCGACGTCCGTTCACGTCGCGGTGGTTCAACAGCTGCTCAACTAGATAGCGCTGGCCACCGCGAGAGTCCTCTAATGGAGGTGGAGGAGGAGGAAAGACGCTCTCCACACGATCATGTGGATCGGTGTGTTCCTGAGAGCTTCTTTGATCGCGTAACGCAAGGGTTACGCGACGATCTCGAGCATGAGCGGAATAGGCGTCTCCAAATGGCGGACACTGCCTTGAAGCATCGAGATGAGTTTGCCTTTGCTCAGCTTGAGAACGAGAGATCTCTGACATCTCTTAGTGACGAGCTAAGGGTAGCTCGTGGGATTGTTGATCGGTCTCGGGATGAGATAGCTGCTCTTCAGACCCTTGTTGATGCCCACCATCGGGAGCACAAGGCTCTCTGCAAGATGCTTGAGCGCAAGGGCGTTCTTCATCGGAAGAAGCAGCGTACTGATGGTACGGCTTAAGCCGACCAACGTTAAACGTGGGATGCGTTCGCATCTCACGTGGTAACTCGATCGTGTATGCATTGCCCAGGCGGTGCAATACACGAAATGGGCCAATGTACTTGGGTAGTAGTTTACTGCTACCCAAGTTAGTAACTACATGCTTTGGTAGATTAACCGTAGACAGTAGGACTAAGTCACCTTTATTGAATAAAATAGTGTTTGCCCTTCCATTCTTGACAGCGTTTTGCTTTTGCTTATCCACCGCTTCGGCGATGGAGTCTTGCACAAAACGGACTACCGTTTCACGAGCCAGTATGAACTCATCTGATGACTCGTTAGCTTCAGTGTGCTGTGAGCGCACTGCAGCAACATCAACCTTTTCTTCAGTGAGGGCTTCCGCACTCTCACTGGGATCATCTTCTTCAGTGAGGGCTTCCGCACTCTCACTAGCATCATCTTCTTCGATATCGATGTTATCGATATCGGCATCAAACGCAATGACTTCTTCGTCAGAGCGTGATGAGCGTGAACCAAATCGGTTTTTGCTCGCGCGAGTCCCTCCCCCTAAACCAGAGTTACACTCTAGTAAGGTGGGTACACGCGGATGGCGCAAGCCATTCACGTAAAACGGTGTATGTGTCGTAGACGCATGCACCGAGTTGTTAATGGCAAACTCTACCGTTGGCAAAAACTCACTCCAACTCTTAAAGGAGTGTACGTATCCTCGAAGCATCTCTTCAAGGACACGATTGGCACGTTCCGTCTGACCATCTGACTCTGGATGATCAGATGTTGACATCTTCAAGCGCGTTCCGAGTGATTTGAACACGGAACGCCAGAAATCAGCAGTGAATCGTGGATCCCTGTCTGATACGAGTTCACGGGGAAACCCATGAAGTCGGAAGATGGTGTCAATAAAGACACAAGCACAGCCACTTGCCGTGATTGTCTCTGGTACAGCCACGAGGTGTACCATTTTGCTGAATCTGTCAACAAATACGAGAATACCCGTATTCTTGCGTGCGTCTTTGGGTAACACGAAGACGAAATCCATTGAGATGGATTCCCAGCACTCAGCCGGAACCGGTAGAGGCTGTAAAGGCGCACGCAGTGAAGGACTTGACTTCACTCGTTGGCAGACTTCGCATGCGCGAACATACTTTCGCACAAACTGATACTGGCGGGGCCAGTAAAAGTCTCGACTTACCGTGAGATATGTTTTCTCTCGGCCACGATGTCCTCCTATAGGAGCAT